AACCCACCTCGATGAATGTCCTCCCATGGAGCCCCTGCTTGTGATGAGGACAATAGCATCATAAGCAGCGACATGAATGAAGAAATGCGAAGGCGACTCGCATCTGTCCCTCCGAGGGGACGATCGGCGAGGTGGGCTCTGCCCGCGCCTGGCGAGACTCCTCTGGCGTCTCTGGGACCCTCGACTGACCTCCAACGCGCTGACCATCGGGGCCAGGATCACCAGCAGAGCCGGAACCACTGCCGAAGCCGGAGCCACCGCCGAAGCCAGATCGATCGCCAATGCGGGCGGCGCCAGCGTCCCTGATGGGGGTGCCACCATCCATGTCCACTCCAACTTAGAAGGTGGAGCCAGGGGCTCTGATGCCATCCCAGTGAATGGATGGCCAGCCGGAGGAGGAGGATCAGTGCAGAAGGGGGGAGGGACGATGCCCGCCACTGGATAGTTTGCGCCGACGGGCTCAAGCATTAACACCCGAAGAAGAGTCTTCGAGATGGGAAAAGGGAACTCCATCATTGGGTCGGTGATCCCTTGGTACAGCCACAGCGAGTGCGCCCTCTCCCTCAGTGGGAGGATCCGGCGATGGATGAATGAGCGCACCACCACCGGCCGGCCAGCCCCTGCGCACTCAGGGCCTTGATAGCCTCCACGAGAGCAGGGACGTCTGCAGCCTCCTCTGCCTAGGGGTACAGCCACCATGACTCTGGAGCGACGCCCCCCGGCCTCACCGCCGTGAACGAAAGCAGCACTCAGACCAAGTTGGGGAGATAGAACTAGTTCTCCCACCAGTTCGCCTGCCCATCGAACCCCAACGAACGAGCAAGGGCAAGGTACCGACCAACAACATGCAGACGCACCTAGATCCGGGCACCCACCATCGCCGGGAACGCGCCGCTGGGGAACGATGGCACCACCTAGAACACCCACCTCTAGAGCGCGAAGTGGGGAGCGATCCCTAGGAATGCCTCGCATAATGTGATGAAGGTCACAATGTGGAGGATCCCCTACGGTGTCAGGTCGTGAAGCCGGAGGCCGTAGAAGAACAGAAGGCCCCGCATGAAGGGGTGTAGGGGAAGACCAAGCCCTAGGCGGTGGAAGGCGGTGAAGGAAATGATCTCCCCATTCCTGAGAGTGGGCACTAGCTCACCGACGCCCGGGGGACGCCAACCAACCGCCAAAACCTCCTCCGGTGCTAGCCCGTTCTCCTTCATCCTCCTGATCTCCGCCTTAGTGACCCCAGATGCCCCCCATTCCGCCATGGGGACGAAGGGGGGAGCAAGCGACGGCAAGCAAGCATGCGGGAGTAGGAGAAGAGGGGGTTGTGGGAAGAAGGAAGCTTTCACTGGAAACAGAAGGTAACTCCCCCTCTCCAACTTTTCATCTTAGCTTTTGTACTCCACAAACAGCGGCCGCCGCGCTCCCACGATCCCACGCGCGACCGTACAACGCGGTGGTGGTAGTTGCCAAGCCCGCGGCGGAGGCGAGCCACCGCCTCCCAGTTAGCCCAACCCTATTGAGCTGAGCCATGCGCACTGTCCACACCGTGCATGCCTCCTCGCGGGACATGGGGTATCCGCCTCCCCCAGGTCCACCTGCTGCCATTGACGGCCTAGATCTACGCGTGTCAGGCGCTGTGGCTCCTCCTCCGCCAGATCTGCTCCACATGGCTCCGATGTCCCATCTCCCAGGCGAGATGAGACGGTGGGGGTGCACGCCTTAACTTCTTCACCAGGCACGACGGCCCAAACGCTATCAACCGCCTATGCAAGATGTCAGCGGATGAGACGTGCCCAGAAGCCGCTACTTCCACTAGCAAGGAGGTCCCACAATGGCCTCGGGGGCTACGTCGGCTCCCTAGATAGAGCAGCCTAACCCCCGATCGATGGGTGCTCGGGTGGCGCATCCCCCAAAAAAACAACCAACTCCCTAGAGTTGGGTCGGGAGCCGCTGAGTGGTGGGCGCAACAAGGGCATCCGTCCGAGCCTCGGCGCGCTCCCACTTCCCCGATCTATGGCTGTAGAGTGTCGGACCTAGAAGGAAAGCCTAAGAGGATCGGCACCTGTTATCGTAGCCCTCAGAAGGGCGTGGAGCTCCGGATGATGATGGCCCCGAGTCGAGCCCAGCGCTCTTGATCACTCGGCCCACGGTAGGCTCTAATCAGAAAGGAGGAAGCCCTAGGCCTACAGTCGATGACTCCCAGATGAGTCCGCCGAGCTCTCGCTCAAGTCGAAGACCCATGCGACATGGACTCGGGAAGGGATCAGCACCACCTTCGCTCGGCCTCGACAGTCAAGCACCATCCATCGCACTGGAGAAGAAGGCCCCAAGCAGGCCACAACACTCTCGCCAGCAGAAGCTGTCCCCGCCAAGGAGGGTTCGGTCACCAGTAGATCGAATTCAGCCCTCCGTCGCCATCATGCCAGGTGAGGCCACGAAGGGCTCAGGGGCTCCTGACGAGATCCTAACATATAGGTATGTTAAGCTTCGGGTCCAATGGTTCCCGAACGAAGAAGACACTCTGACCGACCCCTTCAGGATCACCCGGTAGCTTAGGGGCTATGCCCATTGGGCACACTCGCACGCACCCTCTGGCAAAGAGATCCGGCCGAGCCTGACTCGACAGCAGCTTCTGCCTAGGGCTCGAGGGCTTTCCCAACCCTTGGGCTCCTGATCTACGGCACCTCCGGACCCGGCCCTTGGCTCTTGCCTGGCTAACAATGCCAGACAAGGTCCGAGCATTTGAAGAAAAGCCCTAGGCTATCGATGCCCGGGGGCTCCTTGGCTCCACTCCCTAGGCGTGCCCCTACCAACTGCTCCTCCGACAGAGTCATGTATGGGGCGTGACACAAGAAGACAAAGCTTCCCACGGCCTCCGGGGGCTTTCGGGCCCGCACGTCAGCTCCTGGAGCCGACCTCCTTCGCCACCAAGAAGACTACAAAAGGTCTCACCCGGGGGAGGCCGGTCCAAGCCGACTCCGGAGCAGCCGAACGACGCCCAGGCTACTTTGGCTCCAAGACACCTCGACGGTCCACAACGCACCGCTACAAGACCCTCCTAGACTCCAGCGCAAGCAGACCATAGACTAGAACCCCTAAACCGCCATGTATCCGACCTATCTCGTTATATAAGGGATAAGGTCGGATGTAGGAGGGGGATCCCAATTTGATCACCAGACACTCCATTCCATTCCATCCACCTCCGCTCTGCACTGAGAGCAAGGCAAACCAGAGAGGGGCACCGAGAGCCCCTCCTCCACCGCATCTCGTCGTCTCCTTCCTCTCCAATGAGGGGGAGACTCCACCAGCGGCGAGGCAACCTTAGGAATAGCACCGAGTTAACCCCCCTACCAAATCTTCTTCCTTTACACTCTATTATAACCCCCTAGATTTTGGGTGCTCTTGAGTACAAGGATCATCAGCTACTGGATGTAAGGACCGAATTGGCCCAAACTAGGATAAACCGTTGCATCTTCTCTGCCTGATTCTTGTGTTCCTGAGTCCACCCGAGCCACCGGAGACCCATACTCTGACATCGACTCGAACAACATGCTTGCCGCGGTTTCGACCGCACGACATGTAGCACCAGGCAACTTTATAATTGGAGCTCGTGAGTCTATGGCGTAGTTCTCTTGTTCATATTGCAATCCAAAGATGAAGAAATAAAAATGAAACTATGAACAAGAAAAGGGAATGAATCATGAAGCAGTCATCCAAAATATCTTAGACACTTCAGGGTGAAATCAAAGTTGGTAGAAAAACAATTAAATTCTCACAGATAAAAGAAGTAGTCCATGAATCATGATGCACCAAGAAGTAGTCCATGCGAACAATATAGTAAGATACACATATGTTCAACAATATAAAAAGTCATAATTTGATTGCAAAATAAGTTAGAACAACAATTATGTCATGGTAGGAAATCCGCATTGTCCTAGACCATGAAAAAAATCAAGAGATAATGTAGGCTAGGCTCCCAAATATAAAAAACAATTATGTCATGGTAGGAAATCCCTGCCCCCCCCCCGACGGAATTCCCTGGGGAAAAATTACCGGACACCGTTTGGGAACCACCGGGATACAAATCCCGGCCAGACAAAAAATATTCAAAAAAATCAGAAAAAATAAAGATTTTAAAAATGCGATTGCAAAATTGAAAATCAGTGCCATGAATAATCTTTCAGTAGTATGATACACGAATTGGATAAAAGAAGATCAATTACACTAATTCAAAGTACACATTATTCATCTCATAGGGTAAACAAACAGATGAACTTCGATCTTACACAAGAGTCCACAGGTTCATCTCACAGCTGGTCATCACCATTGGCTTTAGATGAGTGTGTTAAGCAACCCAAGAAAACATATAAGAGTCCAAAGGTTTACGACAAAAGTACATATTACATTATTCTTACTACATAACCAGAGAGAATTAACAACTATCTCGGCATAACTGCACTACAATCTATCCCTCACAACCAGCATCAGCAAGCTAGAGCATATAGAATCAGCCCTTCAATTGGATGGAGAAAAATCACTATTAGTCGATGCAATGTAATATTTATAAAATAGTGCAATGTAAACTCAGTCTGAAGCTAATTCAGATGCTCATTTTTATTGGCAAGTTTCATGTCTCGAGAACAAGGATTTGCAAAGGATAACTTTTTTATCATATAGCCAAAAGTACCATTCTTCTACATGCACACTAGATTAAAAACTTTGCTTGTACAGCCAAATTAATGAAAAGTTTCCTGCTTTACAGAGTACTGTAAAATTAGGCATTTGGGTTTTCAGTTTTAGTCAAAGGCACTGTAAAACTCACAGAAACTCCAACAATCAATTGCAGCACTAGGCATGGGCAGAGGGTCAGATTTCATAAATAAATTCTACAAGACCATGTACTTCTCAGAGTACCGTAAAATTCTAACACAAGGGATTGTAGCATTCCCACATTTGCATAGCAATCTGATCTCTTAGCACGTTTGTAGCATGGTCTTGTAAATTCAGCGATTGCACATCATTTTGATGATTATCATCTCCTTATGGCAGATCAACATGATCAGATTCTGGTATATAAGTAGGTTGGCGATCTTAGGGTGAGTTTGGTTGGAAGTAGGAAGCTTCATAAATCTATAGGTGAGAGTGGGAATGATATTGAAAACTGCCCTTATGTGCCTGTGGACAGTTTCACCACTATGCTGAAATGCTTTCTTCAGTTTATCGTTGCCCCTAGCATTGTGTGAAATCATATACATAAACATCCCTAGCTGCTCCTCAACGGTAACACCTCGTGTGTCACGCAATAGACCCTCACGCCTAAGATAGTTACATGTCTCCTTAAATATTCGTGTCTCCATACGAAACTCAGATTTACACCAATTCTCGTGCCCCTCCAGAATTTCCTTCACCTTCCTAGCACCAGTATACTTGGAGGTATGCTCTGGCCTCTTCTCTTCATTTAGACATTCAAGTAATGCAGGAACAATGACAAGAAACAATTCATCATTATTTTCTTCTTCCATCTGTATGAATTTTCTAATTTTCTCCTTCCTAGAGCCCATTATCTAAAAGTTGCAAATAGAAACAAGCTGAGATATTAGCCTACTTATGTATTTATAATAAAGTACGTGTTAGTACTTTATTTTTCTCTCTGAACCGAACAAGACTACAGGTAGCGGTACTAATTCTGCAAGCATGGCCGAACTAATAACAGAGGCATGTCTACATATTCATAGTGTGACCCTTATATCTGACATTAGCATCAGCTCTATACCAGTTGAGATATTGGCGTACTTATGTATTTATAATTGAAGCCTATGTTCCAAAATTACCCATCGTGTCCCTCTTCTAATTGTCAGACACATATGCCAACTTATGATATACTGACCTTACGAACAATTAGTACTTGCTTAAAACATCACGGAAGCAAATGAAAGAAATGAGTAAACATAATTAATCTAATAAAAAGTGTTACTACTAACAGGCTATCCAAACAAATCGAAAAGCACTCGCTGAACTGAACTGTGAATACTATTCTCAAAAGCCTGAATATTCAGAAGCTGCACATGAAGCACTTAAGAGCTAAGACAGCTAGCAACCGATGGAAAACAAACAGTTACTACAAAGAAATCTCTGAACTGACTGAAACACGAAGTCTGCAGCTGAGCTTTACCTGAACCCTCCAATGATCAGTTACTATTGACACTCTGAAATGCAGCTGCAGTGCACTATCTGAAAAACAAAAACAGAGGATTATAGGCGGCGGCGGCAGCGTGACGAGGGCAAGAACGATCAAGGAAGTGCGCCCGGATCAAAATCGGAGTAGGATCCAGGAGTGGCGGTGGCATGACGAGGGGCTGGGACGACAACGGCTGGCGCGAGCGATGGAGACGGCGGCGCTCAAACCCTAGCCGCCATGCTTTCCTGGGGGAGGCGAACGGGAGCAGCGAGGAAGGACCGAGCGAGCATCGAGCAGACGGGTTAATTTGAACGGTGCCATTACAATTCTGTGAGTTTAGAGAAATATCATTACTATTCGTGATATTGGAAGCGCACCATTACAATTTTTACAGGTCTTTGAAATATACCAATACTTACCCATTCGACTCCTTTATCTGAATTTTTAGAACAAAATGCCCTCTTCTTCCTCCTTGCTCCCTCTCTTTTACAAGCTGGACACCACCTATACATGGCCGGGGGCGTGCAGCGCCACACCTCGCTCGTGTGTGCCAGCCTCGCAGCACCTTGCTTGTCGGCCCACCATTGCGGCCGCGTCGGCACACCAGCCCCGCGCCTCCCACTGCTCACTGGTTCACCACCATGGCACATCCACGACATGCCGGCATGTCGGCACCAATGCGTTGCGAGCTGGCGCCACGGCCACGCAGGCAAGCTGGAGAGCTGCCGCCGCGGCCACCCGGGCGCCCGTTCGAGCAGCAGCCGCCGCTGCTACCATGCAGGTTGTGCTCGCCGCGCCAGCCATGTTCCTCGGAGCTTTTCCACGCACGCACGCCGGCGTGCCGCCTCGCGTTCGCCTCGGCTGCTAACCACGGCCACGCCTGCCGCGCACGTGCACCAGCGGGCGGACTCCCGAGCCTCACTGCTCGCCTAGGCCGCCATACTGCTGGCTGAGCCGACCTGCAGCTCGACCACGCCGGTGTCTGCCACCTGTGTCCGTCTCGCACACGCTGACTGCGCAGGCTATTCTTGTCGACCCACAAATCTTGAATGCTGGTTCAGCTTGAATGCATTCCTGATGATGAAACTGATGGCCTCAAAACCTTACTAAAAAAAATCTACATGGCCACAGCGACCACGCGCTGGTCAGCTCGTACCAAATGGAAGAGGGAGCAAGGAGGAAGAAGAGGGCAATTTGGTCTAAACATTCGGATAAATGAGTCGAAAGGGTAAATAGTGGTATATTTCAAAGACTTTTGAAATTATAATGGTATGTTTCTAATATCGAGAATAGTAATGGTATTTCTCCAAACTCGTAGAATTGTAATGGCACCATTCAAATTAACCTAAGAAATAAATGGGTGCGGAGGAGTTTTTTTTCTGTCCCCCGTCGATTGAGAAGGATAGGGTCTAGAAAGTCACGCGCTTTTTTCTGGCTCGCATGACTCCAAACGGGTGCCGGGGTTAGACGGGGAAGCAAACTCACAGCGAGTTTCTCCATCCGCGGACCGGCGGGGATACCGGTGGGTTTTCGCGTATCCAAAGGAGCCCTAGGCGGTAGCCGAAACCTCCCCTGAGGGTATAGATCCAGCCTCTTAGTCACATAATCGGGGCATGGAGGGGGCACATCCGATGCCGCCGGTCACCGGCGCCACCCACCCTTAGCAAGCCGAAAGAGGGGGCCTTAGGGGATAGGAGAAGTAGAGGACGTTTAGAAAATGTCGGCAACGGCGAGTTGCAGAGGTGAGGTGGGAGAAGAGGGGGCGGAGGCCTTGCAAAAGGCAAGGGGAAGGAGGCGTGGGTCGGCTGCTCTGACCGGCACGAAAGAGGACGAAGGCGGGCGAGGTAGCCTGCAGCCTTGACCTCATATGGGGAGAGGAAGAAAGCAGAGGACGTGGGGGCGACATTGCCGATGGCGATGCGACGAAGGGCAGCGTGGCACGGGACCTGAGGAGGCAGCGGAGAGTGTGAGGAATTGAAGACGGGCAGGGCCACGTGGCGCAAACCCACAGCCGAAGGGAGTGGGAAGCCCCGATCGGCGTCCAATTCTTGGAGAGAGCGTGGGAGGCCTCGGATTTATTTACAACGCTAACTGCAGCACGTGTCTCGCGGGGATAGGCCAACAGGAGTTGAAGCAACGGCAGGCTTCGCGTTTGAGGAAGTATCTATGAGACCTGATATAGTCTCTACTACCGCGTGCTTTTTTTTACGTTACTTGTTTTCTAAGCATTAATTTTTTGAAAGTAAATAATGATAAATATTGTATTAGCTTCAAAGTATTTTTTTTCTTTTACATTACAGCTCTAGGCTAGAATATGCCCCATACATTTGTATGTGACAATTCAAAAATACTCATCTAAGTCAGACACACAATCTTAACATAGCCTTTACGGAAAATCGCGGCCATGAAAGACATGGTCGCCGCCGCCGCTCCTAGGCCCCTCTCCTTCTTTCTCTCCGGTGCGTCTACCGGGATAAGAAGGGGACCCATCCTTTTTCCCGCAGTTTTTCTATCTAGTTGCTTAAGGTATAGTCCAATAAATCTTTCGGCAAAATAAGATGATTTTGGTCAGGATCGTGCTTCCTGCGATAACTTCGGTGATGGCTATGATGAGATCGCCGTTGCAGCGATTTCATCAGCAAGCGGCCAATTTGTGGCCTTTATCTGCAAGGGGAGGGTGCTTCTAGAGCCCCCTACTAGGACAGCGACTTCGGGTCATTGATGTTATCGTCGATGGTCGCGGAGTGGAATTCAAGGTCTCGAGGTAATGAATCTGTAGCATATGTCGTACCCAATGAATCTGCGATTTAGATGAATTTTGGATTGATTCTGAAGTGTTGGATCTTGCGGCATGTCCAATGTTTTTATTGACTGTTGGATTCGGTATAAGGACTACACTTTGTCTCCGGCGTTTGAGGAAAGCCATCGGAAAGAAAGCCATCGGAAAGAAGATGATGAAAGAATCTGGATAGAATATTATGTATTTTTGATTTTAGTTTTTTATGTGCAATTTAGGGATATACTGTGCAAAGATTTAATATAAGTCTCATTTGAAAAAAGAGACACAACCTTAGGAATCTACCTGTATAAATAAATGGGTGACCATCCCCCCCTTTTCGTCGTGCGAATACCAATGGAAATGGAACAAACCAGCCCGCTTATTAGTAAATTATTTTTCTAGTCAATGTAGGAGAAGAGTAGAAATAGAGGCATGAGGAAGTGAGAATTGTCTTCACTACTCGGTTTTGTACTCCCTCTGTCTAATAGTAGTAATTAATACGTGCTAAAATTCAGGTGTTCTATCACGCGATGGTTATTATATATTACTAGTGAGTACCCCGCGCGTTGCCACGGGTTAACTCAAAGGACACAGAGGAAAAAAGATAGAAGGTTCAATAAGCCGTGAAATTTGCAAGCAGATGGCAATATGATAGTGTTTCAATTGCAGAGGCCGGTTAGCACGATGGACAGAAAGCGTTTGGAGGCGCAGATGGTAAATGTCTGTAATATGGACAGAATATATGTAGAAAAATTTATGTGCATAGGGACACAGGATTGATAATAGTGTGAAGTATGTACGTCTATTTTTTGGAAGGAAATTTGTTCGAAAATTAAATAAGAAAAGAATATGTATAGAATCATGAGTACTATCAGTGTAGGTCATCACTGATCATATACTCACATGTAACAGAATTTTACATAGTCACCAGAACTTTGATGTTTAGTGACACAAAAGGAGAAGAGATCTTTCCATCGTTGCTACGTTGATGACAAAAACATGGACGCTTAACAGTTTCTCATATGGTGTCATGCAGCAGGAAGCTACATGCAAAGTATTCCTGAAACTTCGGCCACCCCACCTAATACTAAAGGTCTAATGCAGATCACTTGCAAAGTATAATGGCCTCAAGAGTAAAAATCATCGACTCCTAAATAATTAGGAAATTGAGATGTCTCAATCACTATTGGAAAAAGTAACCGATCAGTTAGAATGGTTGCATTATGAAATAAAAGATTATACATTTTTTACTGAGGCAATGAGCTCAAGATTTTGTTGGAACAAAATCATAATGAACCATGACAATGATCTGGATCGTTTCAACTGAAATGGCAATGGTTGCGCTGTGTCGACTGTCAAGTATTCCCGCAAGCAATAGCCATATAAAGAATTGCTACTAAAGTGGAGTAAATAATCATGTGGAAAAGGATAAACTGACTCAGCAGTTTAGTGAGAAGGCTCAAGAGAAATTGCAAGAAGGACGACTAAAGAACTATGGATATAAATAATAACCGATTAGTGTGAACCGACTGAAAAATAATACGATCAGTTGGGAACTAAAAGGGTAAGTGACCAAAGAAACAAAATAATACAGTATACAGAAAGATTTACCTGGCACATTTCCAAAACAATCAAGACTCAAGTTTTAATGTTAGAAGTGCATTGGTTGCATTGATTAAAATGGCAATGCCTTACTGAAGCTAAATGTTCATTTCCTTATAGTTCTTTTGATTTTTTTACGCCATTGAAACTGAGATGCGTTATTTTTGTTAGCATAGTTGTAAGCCCTTGACAATATAGCAGAATCCGAAGACACGGTAGGTGGACCTCTGGGTATCTTTGCTACCATTTGTGTCATGTGGGGCCACGCCTATACAAGAAAACGGCGCGCCCAGGATGGCCGCAGAGCCACTGAGGATCTGGGCGCGGTCACCATGCAGGCAGGCGCGCCAGCTAAAGATATGGGCGTGATCACCAGGCATGCAGGTCAAGAAGAAATAGTAAGTGGCTAGAAGGAAATAATAGCTGATCAAGGCCTTAGAATTAGGAGCAATTAGCTCTAATTTGTAGTGTCGAATGGCCTATATATGAGAATAATCAGGATGAATAAGAATCAAGCAAGAATTATTACCTAATCTTTCTTCTTCTTCCTCCAAACCGACTGGAGCTGAGGGGCAAAACCTCGCCCAGCTACCACAGATCGCGGCTACAAACTCCGTAGCCGGGGTCCTACGAGTCTCGGACTTGACGTCCTTGACAACCTGGTATCACGTTACGGCATGTGCAACCAGGTCCGCATGTGCCCTGCCGACATCGCCAAGACGGCGTTCCGCACACATGACGGCCTGTACGAGTTCCTGGTGATGCCGTTCGGGCTGTGCAACGCTCCGGCCACGTTCCAAGCGCTGATGAATGACGTCCTGCGCCCTTTCCTTCGCCGGTTTGTGCTTGTGTTTTTTGATGACACCCTCATCTATAGCTCATCTTGGGCGGATCATCTCCGGCACCTCTGTGCCATGCTCACCGTGCTGCGGCAGCACCGGCTCTTCGTCAACCGTTCTAAGTGCGCTTTTGGGGTCGCCTCCATCTCCTACCTGGGGCACGTCATCACCGAGGCCGGCGTCGCCATGGATCCCACCAAGGTGCAGGCGGTTCATGACTGGCCCCAGCCCCGCTCAGCGCGTGCAGTACGGGGCTTCCTTGGCTTGGCGGGGTACTACCGCAAGTTTGTCCACGATTACGGCACCATTGTGGCTCCCCTCACAGCCCTATTAAAGAAGGAAGGGTTTCGCTGGACCCCCGACGCCACCGCGGCATTCCAGGCCCTCAAAGACGCGGTCACCTCAGCTCCAGTTTTGTCCCTACCGGACTTCGACAAGC